AAAAAAAAAAAAGGAATGCTGTCAGCTGCCATTTTCCGGAGGTTTTGGCCCTGGCTTCCTGGACACTTCCGGTGAGGCGGCCCCTTTGGTGGTGTTTTATGGGGAGGAAATGGGAGTTCAAAGAGGGTGCAGCTGCAGACTGGGACCTTGAACCCTTGATTGTTCACGCACAGCACCCCACCCTACCCCACCCCACAGCTAACAAATGGGATCTGCCACCTAGTTCACCATGGGTAAACCTGGTATGAATTCATAATGTGATGTGGGCCCTAAAGACTTGCAGTAATCAATTTGCCCTACAAACCATTCTGAGATGCCTCCTGGGGCTATACCAGGTGGTAAGCAATACAGAGATGAATTAAACAAGCCCTGCCTAACGTGTGTGTGTGTGTGTGTGTGTGTGTGTGTGGTGGGGGTCAGGGTCCCAACCTTGGCTGTACATTGCTTTCACCTGTGGGAAGGAGGGGGAGAGTTTGAGTGTTGAGAGATGTATATTTAAAAGCTCCCCAGGGGATTTTTCATATGCAAGCATTCTTGAGAACCTCTGATTTAGTGGTAGAGGGGCCAACAGAAATGATTCTTTGCTAGGGATCATTACCGGGATGGAAATATGCAAGGCTAATGACATGAGGTTGTGGGGGATTTTCACAGAGTGGGGTTTCTGATGGACTGGCCTGCCACACCTCCTCTAGAGTCGAATAAGTGTGGGAGCCAGTGTATTTTCTAAGCACTGATACAGATTCACATTCAGGGCATTTGCCTGTATCCAGATCTTGAGTTTTAGGAGTTGTGAGGTTCGAACAGGAGTCCTGGGCTTTGAAAATCCTCTTCAGATGCACAGAGAGATGGGAAGGCTTCATGGACCGTGGTCCTGGAACCCAGTCTCTGGAGAAGGGCATCAACAGTGAAGGCATGATGGCATGGACTGCCACAGTGGCCGGAACACTGGGCTCAAACATGCCAGCAATGGGGAGGATGACTCAGGCCCTGGCAGTGTTTCAGGCTGTTTGAGCAAGGGGTCGCTGTCAGAGCGGGCTCCACAGGTGCTGACAACAACAAAGGGATGAGAAGTTTGGGTCTGCTGGGCACTTGGGATCCTTACCTGTGTTGTGTTTAATCCTGACAGCAGCCCTGTGGGTTTGAGTTCACACCCCCAATTTATAAATAAGGAAACAGACTCAGGGATGTTAGGTCATTTGCTCAAGGTCATAGAACTAACTCAGTGTGAACCCTTACCTATACCTTACTCAACAGCTCTTGGTAATGAGGCTGTAGATAACTGGGAGGTTTTGTGGGGACAAGCCCAAACCCCAGATGCTGTGCATCTCAGGAGACAGGGTGTCAGTTACTATCCGGGTCAGCTAGCATTTATTGCCAAAGCAAGCAGTTTATTGGTTGGAGAAAACCAGTGGCCCCGTAACCCTTGAGAAAGGTGCCACATCCTGAGGTTGAGAAAGCGGTGGAAGTGGTCTCCTTGGAAACTAGATTCACCTTGCACTGCTGGAAGTGACGAGGTCGCCCTGTGCTTCGCTTCTGGATGAATGGAGTTCAGCTTCTCATGAAGTGCCAGAGATGGGTTGTTGGGACTTAGGTGTCAAGAGGGAGCTGTGTGGCCTTGGGGAAATTCCTGGACCTCTCTGGGTCTCAGTTTCTTCTGTACACGGGAGTAGCAATGATTATACTTAACTAAGAAGATTTGTTTTTGAGGCTTGACTCATGGAAAGGAGAGAGTTGGAAAAGTGAACCCACTGTTGTAGATTCTATGACAATCACAGGGACCCTCCAGGATAGAATGTAACTCTAGGGCAGTAGAAAGCCTCATCTTTCTCCCATGGAGCGGCCAGTAATTTTGAACTGCTGACCACAGCGTTAGCAGCCAAACTCGTAACTGTTATACCGCCACAGCCCCTCAAAAATAGAAGTTAAGTGCTCAGTAAGCAGTTGGTGTTTATTGGGGGCTACAGTGATGGCCAGGTGTTAGCATGAGGTTGCTGTTGGGATGAGGGAGTCACAGTGCTCTGTTGAGGAGGCAAGTGCTTCTTCATTGGTGAGAAGTCACAAACCTGAACTTCATGGCTTGCTCCAGATGAAATTTGGGAAAATATCTACAGCTATAAGGTGGCCCCTTGGTGTTAGCAGAAAAGGCTGGAAGCTTGGGCTCATCTCAGAAGTACTGACTGAAAATGCTGCTTGGAGGATCTGAACTCGGGCCAGCGAGAACTAGGAACTTTGGGTTCTGGATGGGATTGAGAAAGAAAAGCCGAATCTTTGAGTACATATTCGGTAACAGCTGTGTGATTCTGAGTGGCTTTATTGCGATGTGATGTGTGTGCCACCCAATGCGTCCATTGTACGATGATAGCTCGTTGCTTTCGAAAGTAGAATGGCTGCCGTGCAGCCTTCCCCACGGCCCTGTCTCCCAGCATCCCCACCTCCCAGACAACTCCCCCCTGCCTCCTCTGCAGTTAATCAAATCCTGGGTGATCGGTTTTCTCTTTCCTTGGGGTGGCCATTTCTGGAAGTTTCTAACCGGTGTAATGATGGGACATGTGGCCTGTGTGTCGAGCCTCTTTCACTAGGACAGTGCCTGTAGGGGCCTTCTGTTTGGCTCAGGGTTGGAGTCTGCCAAGTTCTCTGTATCTACTCGTGGGGATGCGATCGGGATCCTTCCCGCCTGTTGAGATGAAGAGCAGACAGTGCTCAGACCATTCCTAGATGTGCCTTTGTGTGGATGCGCGTTTCCCTGTCTCTGGGCTCAGGAGTCTGGGGGATTTGGTTGTCAGTCTTTCCCAAATCTCCTGACAGTCTGTTGGGCCCTCCCACCCCAGCCTCCTCTGTGCAGCCATTAGATGTTGGAGATGCTCAATATTTGGCCTTAGACCAGCAGTTCTCAACCTTTGGGGGTCGAACGACCCTTTCACTGGGGTAGCCCGATTCATACAGTAGCAAAATGACAGTGATAAGGTAGCAATGAAAATAATTTTGTGGTTGGGGGTCCCCACATAAGGAACTGTATTAAAGGGCCGTGGCATCAGGAAGGTTGAGAACCGCTGCCCTAGACCCTTCCATCCCCAGCTCCTTCATTGAGAGAGCTCATGTAGGTTCATGGTTTCATTGACCAGGGACTGAAACTTTTCTTGTCCCCATGACTCTTCCTTTCAACCTGACCAAAGTGACCCTGCTGGTCTAGTCTTGTGGTCTTCCTGCCTCCAAGGTTGCTCTGCTCTCTCCAGGAGAAAACACAGTTACTTTCTCAGGGAAGACAGCCAGGGGGTGTCGTTTCAACACAGGCAGTTTTCCTCCTGTCCCGGAGGGCGCCCTTTCATGAATCAGAACAGTAGCATGTACGCTGGTATGTTCCAAAACTCTTTTTCCTACTTAGCATTTCCATATAAAGCCTTTTCTGCCTCATGGCGCTGTGTCCATGATGTTTTAAATGGCTACATATTATTTCTTTGTGTAGACAGCCCCTAATTAACCAAACCAATGCCGTATTTTCCCACAAGTTGATTCTCTCCGCCCTCCCACCACACACACACATTTACTTTATAAGTTTCTATACCGCAGACCTGTGAGCACCTGGGTTTGAATGGCATGAACCTGCCTACGAGTGGATCTCCCTCTGCCCATACGGTGCGGGGAGCTTAGGTGTTGCAAACGTGTTTTGAACACCGTGTTATCACTCATCCCCTCCTGAGCAGGTCACCTCCGCCACCTGGGGGGCTGGGAGGACGAGGGCCGGTGGCAGGTAGTGGAGAGAGGGACAGCTCACGTGGCGATGAATGGTCAGAGTCCCTGGACACGTTTCCATCCATGACGGACCACAGATGGGCAGCAGGGAGAAAACACCTTTGTGTACTGCACCCGAGCTGGCAGCTCCAGCCATGTGGTCTGAGGTCCAACTGTAAATTTTATGTGGCTTTTCGGCAGCCTGGGAGGTCGGCGCCCCCACCCCCCATGTTAGCTGAGGGTCCACCAGTATTTTCATGCGGGCAGGCGTGTGTTCTGTGTGATCTATTTGACTCCTGTATATAGTTTATTTTTGTTGTTGCTGAGACTACACAGAGCAGAGTATACACCGAAGGAACCAAGTTCATGTGTAGTTTGTCGACATTGTCTAAACAATGGTTTCATCTGAATGTGACGACTGTAGGCCACACACCAAAAAAGGGATGTGTGTGTGTGTGGGGCCAGCCATGTGGTTGAGGAAGGCCTGAGAAGTGACTCGTCTGGTTTGAGATGACCCAGATCTGTAAGGTGACGCCAACCGGTATACTGAGGCCACTGCGGAAAGCCGGGAGGTCAGCTCTTCTCCCGGGACTTTGGGCATTCCAGATGCCCTCCAGTCGCTGGAAGGGCGGTGCCCATCGCCACGGGGTGCCCATTCCCAGGCAAATATGCAGACACCAGTATCAAGTGGAAGAACTCCTGGTGATCTCTGCACTCATCTCCCCCCTGGAGATGGCCACCGCCCCTGGTACAGCGTCCACGCTGGGGATGGAGCAGTGAGCACCGAGGGCCAGCACGCCGGCTCTCTTGAAGTGTCGCCCCTGTGCTGTATCTTGTGTCCTAGTAAGGATGTTCCTGACTCGGAAAGTTTCTTAGCGCCATCGCTGTCACCTTGGGTCTGTCAGGGGGAGTTGCCCTTGGCGTCTTCCCAGAGCCTCACGGGAATGCTGCCACAGCGCCAGGGCTGTCACCACTACTCGCTACTCGGAGTCTTGGAATTCCTGAGTGTATCAGAACAGCACCGTGCGACACTGGGTTTCCAGGGCTGGGACTTTGGGAAGCAGAGAGCCAGGCCTTTGTCCGAGGTGCTTTGCGGTGGGTTTGAACCTCTGATCTGAAGCAAGTGCTGAATTGTTTGCGCCACTCAGCCAAGGGCCTTACTGCCCACAGCTCACAGACCTATGCCTGATTGTCTCCCGTGTCTCAGCTCTATTGACTCCTCTTCAGAGCCACCTCCCACTGAGGGATATAGTCTTGCCTGCTCTCGAACCTGCTGGGATGCTGGTTTTGTTTGGGTATGTCCTCTGAGCTTAACACCGAGACCAGCACCTAGCAGGTGCTC